AGACATTTTGACGAGGGATTATTTGGGACTTGTAACGAGACTTGGTGTTGACGACTTTCCCATGTCTCCCCTCCTCTTCTGCGTCTGATCCCCTCCTCTTCGTCTGTGCATGAACTGGACCTGGTGCCTCTTCCTGTGTATAGCGTCAGGCTCCCTTCACACTGTGTGGCGAGAATGATGTATGTTTGGTCTGCGTTGTAGCATTGATTGGGCTAGTCATATTCTAGTATTCTGCTGCGCTATCTTGTACTACGCGAAAGAGGTCGGTCCCGGTCAGGTCAGGACTTGTATCTAAGTCTTCCACTGCGCTGTAAAGCACCATTTTTTATATATCAGGATGAACCCTGCTTGTTGAGATTTCACTTGCACTGCATTGTCCATTCAGTCCTTTTCATCACATTGCGGATCCTTGGTTATATGCACATCGCCCAACTGGGCATGTAACAGTTGGTATCGGAGCACCGCACGTGAATCAGGACCGCCTGATCTGACACGTGTGCGGGGACTAGGTAGCTGATTAGTCTTGATTGATTGATTAGAGCATACTAGTTAGCCCCGGTCCAAAATCACGATTTTGACCTCACTGCCGAAAATCGTTTTTTTTTCTTTTCTTTTCTTGGATTATGTTTTCTCATGTGAGGATTGAGCCCTCAAGTAGGGGCCTTGCCATGATGTACATGTTCTGGGCCAAGGCCCCAGCAAGCCTCGTGCCCGCCCTAAGTGAAGGCGGCCCAGCAAATCAACAAGAGCCCTCCGTGCCAACATTTCACGAAGTGGGGTCCATACAGTTGCAGCACGCCAGTTGGTTGGAGTGCTCCGAGTCTCGGATTTCAGCAAATGCTGAAAGCCCAGGGCCTCTGAATTAGTTGGGCCCTGGGCACTTGAACGTGAGGCTGACAATGCATGCTGGGTATAGAGGCCGAAAATGCCAAAGGGAAATCGGCCCACTATCTGAATCTGGCCCCCGGCGTTGACGAAAGAGGCACAACTGCATTGCCCCGGGGCCCAACTGTATCGGGTTGGCTTTAGCCTCTGGGTCCCTGTCACAGGCTGAAGGGAGGCCGCCCACACGCTGCACTGGCATATAGGCAAGCAGGGCGAGTGGGCAGGGATCTTGGGCATTGCGGGCAATGCCGGCACGCTGCGCAAATGCGAGCTGCTGGCTGCTGCGCTGCGCTAAGAGGTAGTGCAAGGCAGGCATGCGCTAGGCGGTAGGATGCTGCCTGTGCACTGGGCGCTTGGCGGCCATAGCCGGGCTGCAGAGGGCGCAGAGGGGTGAAGGGCGAAGGTGGAGGTGGAGGTCGGCATTGGTGTTGACATCATCACTCGATGGTAGTCAAGTTGTCTGGTTGCTTTCATAGCTGTAGTTGTAGGCTAGGCTGTAGAGTAGATAGGGTGCCTGGCGCCATTCACAAGAGAGAGCTACGTTTGGGTTATGCTGTTGGTGTTGCCCTGTTGGGCATGGACATTGACTCACGATTCTTCTGGATCGTTCTCAATTGGATGGTAACTCGGTTCCATTGTGCTATCTGCTTTGGCTTGGACTACTTGGACTTCAGTGTGATTTTGCATTCTGGATTTCTGTGCTTCGTCCATATTCATGTTCCTTGCAATTTGGTATCGGAGCGGGTTTGATCGCCATTTACCTTTGGCACGCTGGCGTTGTATAGACTTGGTGCGTTGACGATGCTTTTCGCAGTGGGTACTTGTGACGTCAGGCGACTATAGGTGCACGCCCTGGGTAGAGAGGGGTGCACCGGAAGGCTGGTACGACAATGTATGCCGAGGGATACATGCGGAATGTATGATTGGTGATGAGAGCATGCTGATGTGGCATTGGACTAAGGTGGCACTGCATTGCGTTGTGGGTGGTACCGAGGTCATGACCGGTCATCAAATGCAACATCAGCTCAATTGGTGAGAACATCTGTGGTTGGGGGCAGCTATCTCCAGGTATGTTGATCCCTTACCTTATCTACCTTCTCAATCTCTTCTTACCGTGAGGAAGTGAGTCCAACTTGAGAGTCCTCTCCTTGGTGAGGTGTCGTGAGCGCGCTACCTTGAGAGACGACAATCTTCCCAGAAGCAATCTGGAAGGAGAAAGGGCGGTGCCTCTGAAGGGCCCTGGTCGAAGCACTGGGTCACGGTCACCATGCCAACCCACAGGGAGTAGTGCACGCGTGGGATGGCTGCTGTCCTGTTTGGCACTTGCTGCGCTCAGATAGAAGTCTTGCCAAGTGTGCCAGCCTTGTATGAGACGCTTACCAGATCGTCTATAAACATTTCTGGTTGGGTCCTCGGAATGATTCTGGCTGTGATCGTCGTCCTGACTGCGACGTTAAATAATTCCTGAAGAGATGGGGGCGCTCTAAATAATCCTCCTGATCAGCCAGATCATCCGGGTGTAAGGCTCGTTTCCGTACGAGGGTAAATAAGAGTGGGCTGGCTGGCTTACTTGGCTCTGACTTAGGCACAGGGGTGGGCCGATACACACACGAAAACACTGCTTTGCTGAAGATGCTGTTCGGTATGTTGGATTGAGGGGAGGGTAGGTTTCAATTGGTGCTCAACTGTGTACACAACTATACCCATCAATCATACATTTGCTACATTGTCTTTTTGTACCTTTGATTAGTTGGTTGACGGACTGCTAACCTCACAGACAGATTAGTGTAGGACTGTTGTATGCTGCCATAGCCAGTTYTAACTAAKGYTGYTGTAAGTGAACCAATCAGGGTGCATCTAGACTATGTAGACAATCTGTGTGAATGTTGTAGACATGCCACTTGATTCGGTATAGTAGGGAACTCGCCGGACACAACCATTCATAGAAAACTACGTGTCGGTCGGATACATGCTGAGGTAGGATTCCATTAGGGGATTCTAGTGCAGATACTATCGGTCTAACTAATGAGTGGGTCAGACCCTGCTGATGATAGAGCTGACAGTAGGAGACTAACACGTGCACAGGCACTAAGGGTACCGCACGTGTTCCAGGCCTTGGAGCAGGGAGAAGAAAGACGGCTACGTAGAGCCCGTGCTCTAGCAGCGGGGATAGCAGCAGCAAACACAGCAGCTAGAGAGCAGGCAACAGCAGCCAGAGCAGCAGCGATGGCTAATGGCGCAAGCTCTGCTGCGTCATCATCTGCGTCCTCGTCAGGGACTAATGGGGGCCAGTTGGGAATGCCAACGAGTTCCACAAGTTCCTCGGGCACTTCCGGTTCCACAGGTTCTAGACAGTCTTCTAGTCAAATGGCGGGATCGCAGTTCAGCCCGTTGACCCCGCGTCAGAGGGAGCTCAGAGAGATCCAGCAGGTCGAGATGCTCCGCCGTAAGTTAGAGCAGGACCTGAAAGAAGCTACCGATAGAGAAAATGCTATGAAAACTAGAGCAGCCAGGCTTGAATCTTTAGAGGCTGACAAGGCTGAATTAGAGAGCTTGGATGAGTCAGCATTGACTGACCCGCTCAAAGTATTGAAGAAAAATATGCTGTCACTACACGCACACGTGGACAGCAAGTTAGACTTCATGCAGAGCACTCTAGACCAGATCCTGGATGCTTTGACAAGGCCAGGATTCCGGCCACCAGCACAATCGCCGTTGCCGTTATCGGCGATGTCAGGCCCCTTTCCGGTTCAAGCTGGTACACAACCAAGTGGCACATCTGCAGCAGTCGCACAGACTGTTGCATCTTCTTCTTCGAGTCCAGCGGTGGTTGCTTCACCACCGCAACAGGCTAGTCCTCAACAAGGACAACCGCAAGGTCAATGGTACCCTAAGACCCCGATGAAACCGCCTCTTGCCTTCTCAGGCGAGAACAAGGACGAGGAACTCATCACATGGTTGAGGACAGTCCCGGTTTGGGTGAAGGCAAAGAGGACCTTGCCTGAGGACGAAGTGGTAACTGCTGCATCTTACCTCGAGGGTAAGGCAGCCAAATGGCTAGATGGTGTAGTGATAAAGGCCGGGTATGGGAGACGCATGGAAGACTGGGCTAAGTCATTGACGTTAGACCAGTTCATAGAAATAGTAGAAGCTCGCTGGCATAATCCACAGGAGGCACAAAAAACCATTGATGCGATTAACAAGTTGGACCAACGAAAGTTCAAATCGGTCAGAGAGCTTACGACTACCGTTGAAAGCCTAATCCTCGTCCCAGGCATCAACTACAGTGACCAGTTCTTGTTAACTACGTATGTTAGATGTTTGCCAGAGAACATCAGGAACTTACTAGCCAGTGAGGCACGCACCGAGTACCACTCGTTTGAGACATTGTCTAGGAAAGCCTTAGACTTGGAGGCCACGCTAGGCAATGCTCAACCCACATCAGGGAATGACTCCAAGAAGAAGAAGAGTCCTCAGGAGTGGAAGAAGAAGGGGGCGAAGTTGATGATGGGGGAGTCCGATGGGACCCAAACTGAGATCGACGAGCTCACTGACCTGATGGACTACACAGAGTTTGATGGCGAGGAGGCTGCTGAGGGTAGCACCCTCGCCGCAGTAGTTAAGACTAAGGCGGCAGGCTGAGGGAAGGGCCAGCCTAAGGGTCAAGGGAAGGTCGCCTCCAATCAGACCAAGCAGGCTGAGTGGGTAAAGGCAGGTCTTGATCAAGACGTGTGGCGTGACCGCCGAACGCGTGGTGCTTGTATCAACTGCGGGGAGTACGGACACTCGCAGTACAAGTGTCAGAACGCTAAGGTTACGCAGAAGGTCGCTCCAAAGATGGGGGCAACCTACTCCCAGGCTTCTAGCTCGGGAAACGTGTAGGGCCAGTGGAAGTATTAGCCGCTTCGACTCAAGATGAAGTGGGATTGATACCCTCCCCACTTCATGACAAGGCCAAGGCTAATGACCCCTTAGTCACCCCGCAGACACAACTAGACCAAACTATGCTTTGTACGTTAGATGTGTCTGAAGCCTTAGAAGACTTAGAGATTGAGTGGTCAAACAAGGACCCTCGTGAGTCTTGGGTGGCACTAAGGAAAGGTCCTAGAGGGGAACATTTCGTGGTGGAAGTCGATGTAGGAGGCCACAAATGTGGTGCCTTCATAGACATAGGCTCCACGCAGAATTACATAAGTCGCGACTGTTTGGAAAGGTTGCACCTACAGGACCGGGTACGACACCTTAGTAGACCAGTAGCATCTACTTTGGCCAATAAGGAGCGCATGATTGTAACGGACTACATCAAGGACGTAGTCTGTACCTTCTCCTATGAAGGAGGAGTGCTTAACCGTACGATCTCGTTCTTGGTTAGCGACGACTTGCCATTCGATATGCTGTTTGGCATGTACTACCTCGAAGTTGCTAAGCCCCAGTTCGACTGGGATAAGAAGGTGCTCAAGCATAAGTTGCCCAATGGCCGAACTGTCAGGTTGACTAAGTTCAA